GATGAGGAAATGGTCGGACACAGGGAAAATATCGGCAGTGGGCTTGGAGGGGGAGAGACCGGAGCAGCAAACTAAGTCCAGAGTGTGGCCTTTGTTGTGGGTGGGAAAGTTGATGAGGAGATGAAAACCAAAGCTATCCAGACAGGATGAGAAGTCTCTGGTGAGAGGCAGGTTGTTGTTGCTGGAATTAGCTGGAACAGTGCAAGGGCACTGCGTCTGGAGAGAAGTAATGAAAAACATTCTACAGTGGAGTTTGCGGTTTTGGCTAGATATACTCAATATTTAGTCAAGACGGGCTGCACGCTGACGGGCAGCTTTTGACATCTGCTAAAACCAGTGAACTTGAGTCAAGAGTCTGGGACAATGGAAGAACCACAGTGACTGAACACTGACTGGTTTATTTTCCAGCAGGATGACAGTTTTAAGGGCTGATACAGACTGGACAGAACAAATTACATCTTAAGCTACTACATGAGGACCCATGTATGGGTGAATGAAGATACTTCAGGAAGTAACAGTGACAGAAAACAAATCCTCAAACTGATGCTTTGTTCACAAAAAGGCACAGGTTTTTCTAAAACAATAAAGGTTTGGATGAGCTTTTTAAAAAAATATGTTTAAATATATGGGGATTTAAATATGTCTGTAAGGCCTCAACAACTCAGATGGATCAGAAGACAGAAATGTCATTTTCTAATCTGACAGGCAAACAACAATGGTAATGCTGAAAAAGAAGTGCTTGACAGGCAGATTCGCCTATTTCTATGCACATACTCGCACGACAAAATCTTTCATCTGTGTTCAACCCATCAACCCATTCCTGGGGAGCAGTGATGACTTTGAGAAATGTCCAGGGAGCAACGGATTTTGTGCTGTAATTAGTTTTTTTTAGGTTTTTAGGTTTTGCTGGAGCATAATTAAGCAGAGAGTGTGACGATGCCACTGCTACACCCTTTGATTAAAATCACCTTCAACTACTATCCATCCATCCATCCATCCATCCATCATCAACCGCTTA